AGCTGCTCTGTAGCTGGCAGTGACCTCTGACCCTTTGAAAGGACAGGAGGTGGCAATGAAAAAAGCTGTTTCCCTCTCCGGGAACTAATGAATTATTACCTTGTTATGATGTTACTCTTAATAACTTTTTTAATCCATTCAGTAATTTATATAATTATGAAATAAAAACATTAAATGTCACATTTTATGATAATTATATCACTTCTGAAACTCTTTTGAAGTGCATTATTTAAGAGTAAGCGTAATCAGTCTCTCATTGTTAAAAGCAATTAACTAGCTGATTGGATTTAACCACTGAGAGGTCTATAATCATTCTAGGAAACTCCAGGCTTCAGGGAGAATCATCTGGTCCTTATTAAATAATACAAAAATATTCTTTTAGAATCACTAACACCATGTAACCTCTCAGAAAAGAACTCACCCATCACAATGTCCTGAAAAGTCTCTTTCTTCATGAAGACAGTTCAACACGAAAATGACATGAGCTTCAATTTTGCTTGCTTATCCTGAATTCTTCAGATAAGGATAAGGAAAGCTATTGTATAATTCAGTCAACTTGGATGATTGTCACCCATCATCATCCATGCAGACAGTGCCTGAGCTTCTTTGATGGATTAAATGTCTAATCACTCTGATTGAGGATTCTGTTTTAATGAGACCCCATACTGGGAGATCGCATCAATGTTGGAGAAAAAAAATATTTCTAAATGACCCACATTTACCTTTTCCTACACTTTGTTTCATCTTGTTTCAGCTGCCAGAGCCAGGTAGGACTATCTGAATCATGTAGAGGTCATCGTGGTAGCTATTTTCTAAAGGTAAATCAGATCAAACTTGCAAGATCACTTGTTGCAATGTACCAAAGAGCATGTGCTCCATGGTACATGAGTGGAACAATTAATACTCTTGAGGCTGTTTGAGAAAATTGAATAAAAGCAGAAAGAAGTTTGTGTCCAGTCACTAGAAGATAATAACAGATATTAGAACATACTACTATGATAGAGGAGCACTAGTATCTTTTAATTAGTATTACATTTAAGCACCCTGCTTTCTTTATAGTGTATCCCCACTTATACTTACCCCACAGATTTAAGTGAAAAAGAAAAAGGGAGGAGAACGATTTGGCTGTCCACCATCACCATTTAAACTAATTGCACCCTTAAGCAAAGAGAACAGAGTAAAAGATAGTGGAGGAACACTGGGGCAGATAATCACTGCCAGATGGTTGTCATGTCCTTTGTACATTAGTAAGCCTGGACTGTACAACGGGCTCCTGAAACTTTCCTGAAACATCAACAAAAGATAAACAAATAGGATTAGTGTTAAGGGGAAATGCTTCGCTTTATTCTCAAGGATTTGTCAGCAATTAATTTGAAACTTTTATAATGGTGTTAGTGTGGGGTCAGCTGCGGTTGATTTTTACTTTTTCTCTCTCAATGTGTAATGCAGGGTCATAATTTACTATATGTAACATGGCGAAGAGGAGTAGGACATGCTGCGAGCATGTGTGATAATGCGTTGTTATCGTGTAACACGAGGAATGTTGAGCAGTTGTTGCCTCTTTCTCCTAACCCCTACTTTATCATTATGAAGGGAAAAATGCCTCTTATGATTTTGGCTTCCTCAGACCACCTTTTAGGTCCTTATAATCTGGCGTGGGTGGCAGGCAGCCATGCAGTCAGACAAACATAAACCAGCCAGACATTTGGGTTTACGGCGTTTACGGTTGCTTGGTCCAGTTACCCAGCGGCCATGCTCAAGACAGTCTGTCATTGTTTAGCCACACTCAGTGGGGTGGAAAAGTTTTTGGGACACATTCACTTGGCATGTAACAAGGTGGTGGAGAACCAGTGCATTTTAACTTGATGCAGGAAAACACACTTGCACTGCAATGCTAGTTATATTATTTTTTCTTAATTCTTGGAAATGTCGCTCTGAATATTCATGTTTCATAAAGCCGGGTGTAAGTGGGGCATTTATTTGTGTCATCTATGTCATCTATTGATAATCAAAAGTAATGACTCAGCTCAGGTACATTTATTGATAAAAGTTAAAGTAATAGAGGCATGTGACTGGCCAGTAGTGACCACCATTTTTTTCCCCAGAAGATGTCCCAGTTAGAAAATGTATTCAGTATCCTCAAGGGAAACATTTATCAGTCAACCAACTGATATCAAACAACCTAGCTTTGTAAAAATCACTCTGGCCTTCACAAGTAATGTTGGAAACGAGTAATTTTCAACTAATAAACTAGATTTGTGGAGTGGAAAATGTAATCTTTGAGTGCAAACAGCACAAACCTAGAATGATAAACTGGGTTATAACACCTGTAAAGCAATATAATACAGTTTCTTAAGTGTATATTGCAACCATGTATTGCTGTACTGCAGGTGTATATTATCACCGTAAGCAGCCCGCTGGCCTTGGCCTGTTGCAGTCTGAGTCTGGGTTTGATGGATGAAAGTAGCAAGTGCAAATGAAGCAATGGCAAGGTAACATCCATACATCCATTCTCTAAGTCGCTTATCCTGTTCAGGGTCATGGAGTGCTGGAGCCTTTCCCAGCACACATTTGGGGGTAGAGGTAGGATACACTGAGTTTGCCAGCCTGCCACTGGGCTAACACACACACATACACACACACACACACACACACACACACACACACACACACACACACACACACACACACACAGAGACAGCAACATTCACCTACTCACCTACAGCATTGCTTTTTAGGAAGAAGAAAGAGGAGAAGGATGTCAGCAGGCGACACTTGATTCCAGAGACGTTTGCTTGGAGACTTGGAGAGACAAGACTGAGAGAGTGCTGCATTGGATTTCAACAGATTACCCTGCAGATTCTATTCATAGTATTTTCAAGAGACATAAATTACCCTAGTTACAACAGCTAAAAATTTTGAAGCTGAATATTTATGGGGTTTAGATGCAAAGTTTTTAATGTAACCATAAATACCTGTGCAAACGTCTCAACTTACTTTATGTAAGTATATGTAATGAACTGTTGTACTCTCTTGTATAATTTTACAACCCATCACATTTTGTAATGCAACACATTTACACTTTCAGTCCTTGACAGTGGCAGTGTTCTTATACTATTGTGTTGTACATCACACATATATATATTGTAAGACAGAAATAGACATTTGGCTAAAACCAAGGACAACAATGTTGAACAAAAAACAAAAGGGCAACACTTTATCTGAATAGTTTGTCTATGTTTATAGAGTATTAGTAACTTTTACCCTTGTCTGTAGATTTTTAACAAATTATCTGTAGAGTAAATGCGACAATTCGTGAACATACACCAAGATGTTCTCTGTGCCTGAACCTAACCAAACCTCAACCGCAGTGGTGTAATATCAGAAAATGGTTGTTGAATCTCAACTAATAAACTGTTGAATTGTTACAAATATATAAACCATTTTTAGGCGGACTATCCAAATATAGTGTGACAATGACCAACAACATACAATGAGTATATACAATTAAAATGTTTCTGTAAATGATAAACTATTTATATATGTAAAAACTATTATATATACATGTTTCCACTCTCAAATACTCTCAACTATATACCATATCTTGTTGGGATTTTGTCACTCTATTATAGTGTTATAATGACAGTGAGGGTTACTGTTGTATTAGTAGCATAAGCAGCCCCAGCCTAAGAGTAGGCTAGCAATGTAATGTTAATGGAATATTTCCCCTACAACCTTCTTGAGCTGGCAGTAATTGAAAAGCCGCGCGGTGCATTGATGAACTGATGAGGCGTTCAAGGTGTCGCTGTCCCTTTAAGATCTGTTTTGACTCCGCACGTGCTTGCCTTATATGGGAGCATCAAACGGTGACCGCTAGTTACCTCCGCCGCTGCTCTGCTCGGCTCTGCTCCGCATCGAGCTGCGCTATAAAAGCCTGCTGGAGGAAAAAAAAACTGTTTTGTCAGACACCGAGACACAGCGAAGCGGAGGAGCGTAACTGTAAGAGGAGTACAGTTTATTTACCATTTATAAGTTGCTCCTGGAGAGAGAACTGGTTGTATGAAAAGAGAAAGAGTGGATATTCACACCGTTCAGGATCAAGGTGGGTGAGTTTGGAGTGGGGTTTTTTTTGTCTGTTGGGGGGCAGTTTTTCTTTTGTTTTGTTTTTTTGTGGGGGGGTTGTGAGTTTCTTTGTTGGATAAACAAAGAGATGTATGCCACCGTGTTACAGTTAAAATATATTTCTATATCAATATTTCCCCATAAATGATCAGCTTAATGTTCTCTTTAGGGCTTTGAGTAATGAAACGTAAAAAGCAAAAATCATTTTGGTGAAAGCTAATTGCTGTCCGACAATTAGAAGTTGAGTTTTTTCTTTTCATTTTAACTTCACAAAGTTAAACTGGCATTGCAATGTGCTGAATGGATGTTAAATGTTAACGGCAATGCTGTTGTTTAGGTAAGATGACAAGTATTGTCCTTGCTGTTTTTTTACTCTTTTATCATGTATTGTGTGAGTATCTTCCTCCACCGTCTGTGAACAGGACCACAGTCAAGTTAGCTATAGCAAACACAGGGCTTCCGGTGAGCTATACCTAAAATCAAAGCCTCTTTATGGCAACCTCTTCATTTTATACCAAATAGAAACATTAAAGGGGAATTTAAGTAGAAGCAAGCGCATATCTACGTCCTCTCTTAATGTTCTCTAATTAAAAAACAGAATACATCTATTTTAAGGTTACAGGATATAAGAGTATTTTGAAGGCACATTTGTTGCAGCTTAATGCTGAAAGCACATCCATCTCATTTGTAGTCTGAACTTGGCTGGTTTGACGCTGCTGTGGGTCAGCATCGCGGAGCTGAATGACCGACAGTAACCTGATTTCAGGAGAACAATGAAAGAAAAGTACAGTCAGAAGATGAATTTTAACAATCAGTCATATTGTTGACAGTAAAAAATAAATAAATAAATAAATAAAAAAGATGCCCATGTATGACAATTAACAGTAACTTGTTTTTTATTCATTTCATTTTAAATGCTCTTTTTCCACAACGTGCGCGGGGTCAGCACAGCAATGTGTTGTTTGTATGATGTATTTGTATTTCTGTGCATGTGTGCAGTGATGGTGCAGCGTCGAGTCGACGAGATGCATTTGCTTTCTGTTTTTATTCGTGGTTTGAAGAAGCAAAAATGTGTCTTGCAAAGCATCGACGCTTTTTGTCTTTTTCTTCATGGCTTAAAAGGAACTGTCCTTCTTTCGATTAGTTTTCCATTTTGGATGATCAGTCAAGTGTGTTCTGAAAACAATATAGAAAATGGAGTTGAGAAAAAAAAACCCTGTATGAGTGTGATATAACACGTGAGCAAGGTTTGATGGTAAACAAGTATGAAAAAAAAGAAGATTTTTTTATGTGCCACTAGAGGCGCCCTGGCTCTGCACCATTTATGCTGCTCGACACTCAGCAGAGATCCTCTCTTATAACTGCATACGATGTGTTTTTCACCACCGTGTTTGCCAAAAATCAGGCAATTCATGGAGGGCAAACTAAAATAGTCTAAAACGAATCAAGCTGCTCTGATAGTATGGTAATAGAAAACACAAGTAGAATCAAGCCGATGCAAGTTAGATGAAAATCATGTCTTTGAACATGTGAACATGTTGCTTTGTTATACACAATCAGTCGTTAAATGAAGGTGGGTTAACGAGCCACAATTTCTTTGTTAATCAAAATTGATATTCAAAAATTGGGATGTAATTAGTAGAAAATGAGAGAAGAAGAAAAAACATTACATTTATGCCAAATGTGAAGAAGGTGTAAATTGTTTACCTTGTTTTCCACCCACACATAAAACAACATTGCAGACCACAATATGGGAACATACGTTGTGTTTTTTTCCCTCATTCAAATCATAGTATATGTGCATCAGTGTAGTGTAATAACTTGAGAGAAAAATCAATCAAATCAATACTTTATCAGCAAAGAAAGATAATGTTAAATTGGGACTACGGACCTGAGCTGATGATGTTTTTGTTTTTAAGCCTGCAGCCGTAGGCATTAACTGTGTTTCTGTGGTCGCTCTTTAGTTTCAGTGCATGTTCCTGTTAAATCACCTGATCTTCCAATTTGTTTTGCTTTAATTGTGTGTCTTCCAGTAAGTCTCTAGCAGGTATTTTACATTGTTTCTCAATGAAATGGTCAAATATGTGCTATTAGTGCTGCCGTGAAATCAAGTGAGTCATACAGAGAAAACAGATGTGCCCGTACAGCAGATATTGTACCGAGGTCACAGTGTTGTTTGTTGGTCCTAAAGTTCCTGTTGGTTTTTATTGCGACATTTCATACATTCCAGTGGATTTACTTAATACAGCCAAGTGCACGCAACTGTGGAAAATGTGTGCAACGCAGTTGAGTTACTGTTACATTTTGTTAACATCTGTATTGTATGTTATTTTGTATCTATACTTACCGTGTGGTCTCTTTAGCCATCCCGACTGGCAATTATTAAATGCTGGAAGGCATATATATTTTGGCAGTGATGTTTTTTAACCTAGATTCATCCTGCAAGTAAGCGGAGATTGCTGGGGCAGTGGTTAGATGTGATTAAAGTGTAATTTTGAGTGCGTTGGAGAACATGTGGTGTAAAACCATCGAAAACTGGATTAATGGTTTGATTAGGGTAGGGCTTGTTTCAGCCGTAAGCAAATGATTAGTCGAGACTATCATGTTTGAACACCACTGTGTCCTTGACACTGTTGGGCTGTCACTCTAGTTTCTATGGCATCAATTTTATTCTGTATAGAGGATATTTTTGATCATTTGACTCAAGATTTCCAACTTCCACTTCAAGTTAACCATCAAACAGCCTAACAGTTGTTATGTTTATCATCATACACCTCTTCTTTAGATTAAATATATGCTTCAAATTTAAGACCTGACCTATATTTTCCTTGTGCTGTAAACCTTGACAACCTTAATAAAGGAGTTTTCAGTCTTGAGTGGTTGACCAGATTTTAACTCTTGATGGCTAGGTGTCTGTCTCAGAAAACTACATTACAAATGTAGCTGGATAACTCCTGAAAACTCCATGTGTCTGATTTGTGAGGCTTCCTGGTCTTACTTACTATCCAGATAAGAAAGTCAATTTTTTGTGCAAAAATAAAACACTAAATCAAAAAAATGCAACAGATATTCCGTGCATTTTGGTCTTCTTTCGGGAGTTTGTTGTCTAAATAATGGACTTTGTGATCTGTTGCATGAAGAAAGTCCAAGGACTTTTGAATCCGCAAATAGAATAAACAAATAGACATGAAAATGTTTGTGTGCCCTGCGTGTGGTTTCTTATGGAACGACTCACACCATTTAGTCTGACAATCTGACAAAGCCCAGTGTCTACCAAAAAAAGCGTGTATAAAAAGTGTATCTGTTTTATCACTTTGAGTAAGCCCACCACTACGGCTGTTTGATCAGTGGGTGGGTTGGTTTAGATTGAACAATGGAAAAGATGTGGGGCTAAAGTGGTGATTTGTTTTAACATTTAAATCAAATGCAGTACTGTGTGTGATTTGGAGGTGTTAACAGGCTGAAAACTGTGATGTTAAAAGGATCACCAACAACTTTCACCACATGATTGCCCACCACCCACTCATCTCAGTTTAACTGTAACTTGACCTTTGGACGGATGAGTCTACATCAAGTGGACCTGAATCAACAGAAGTTAGCAGCCTTCCTCAGTCATCAGTCGACTTCATTTGCTGAGTGTTGCTGTACTTTTGGCTGCTTTGCTTTTCAGAGTGAAACAGATTTTTTCAATAGGTGAATTTGTTGTCATGATTATTTTCAGTAATGATTCTTGGTAATTTAATGTTTCTCAGGGCAATTTAATGTATTTTTTAGAATACAGGTAATTCTTTTTGTGCTCCTGTTTGCTCTGGTGTTTTCTTTAATGAAAAGTTTTCTTTTTGACTCTACATTGCTTTTCGTGCCTTACTGTGGCACGATCAACTAGAAGTTACAGTCATATTTGATATAGTTGGATGCATTTGGTTAAGGATTTCTGATGTAACGACTTTCTGTTCCGTTTTCACATCAGTATTTTGCGTCAGTGTATGTGGGATTTACATTTTCTTGGTAAACCATGTCTTTTTCCACAGGAACAAAGCTGGTCTGTTGAGGGTTAGTTAGTTGACTGTGTTTAATCTGTGGCCCTTTCACACTGAGGAAAGTGTTACTTGTTGATTGTGTGAGCAGTAGTTTTGCATGTTGTACATATACAAGTTAACAGTGGTTGATCGTCTCTATGTCTTTTTGGGTTCACAGTGAGGAGCTGGGGCGTGCTCATTGAGCTTGGGAAGACGTCAACATGGCTGTCTCCACTCAACTGGGTTTACTGCTTTGGAAGAACTTCACCTACCGACGGAGACAGACTGTAAGTAGGAGTGCTTCAAATTACTGACTCATAAGAACAATGGACTGGATGAATACACAGTATTAGTTTATTGTTTTTTTTAATTCATTCTTATTTTTTCACATTACTGATTGTTTCTTTGAACTGAGGTTTTTTATTATTCAATGTTTGTTATTTCAGTTTATTTGATTTTATTTATGATACACAAAAAATACTTTTACATATAAAATGTTCTCAGTTATATATGCTGCTAGGCAGAACCATAACCTTACATTGACCTCTTCTTTGATATTAGCAGTGCTAATAATGTAATCACATTTTTAGGCCTGTCCACAAGTCTAAAGACTAAAAACCAAAATGGAAGGTATTGTTTCTTCTGTACAATCTCCCCTGAATGCTTTGTCCCAGTCACATTTTCAGTGAATTGACCTTGAATCACATTTGATTTCCAGTACCATATGAGTAGTCATATGGGCATTACAAAGGCTTTCTATATGTTATGGTTCCACTGCATATGCAGACAAAAAAAATGGAAATTATGTAATACTCTTCCGAGCCACTTAGACTGAAAGCATTACAGTTTACAGATTACAGTGAGTCAGTCAAAGATGTGATGATGACACATTCACATGTCAGGTCAGGTTGATGCCCACTCAAAGTTATGTAAATCAAATTCAGTTCCAAGCTGTAGAACTTTATTGTGTGTGAGGAGACTCATCTGCACACAATTAAACCATTTGACCATCAAGCAGAAACCCCTCCTCACAGTGACGGCTGTGGCTGCTTGACATTCAGTCCACTTATTTCTAACAAAGGGACACAGTGCGTTTTCTAAGACAATGTGTTTATTCTTTATCCCCACACTCCATGTTTGCCATACTGGTTAAGTCTGCAATACAGGCAGCTGAAGTAGAGGGGCCATATGGAACAGATGGACAAACTCATAGTCCACTAAACCCTGCAGACCTCTCTCACTGTCTCGCTCTGTCTCCCCTTATTAACCCATATACTTTACCCCAGACTCATTGTAGGATTACTGTTTGCAAATGAGAACAGCTGACAGCCCCTTCCACACACACTCCGCTATTCTAATGCAGTAGAGATTACCTTAGTTGAACTAGAAATACACAAAAACTGCAAAGCTCAGTTTTGTGATGATTAACTCATTTGTTTCATGATTTCCCAGGAGTGTTGACCCTTTTATTTGCTTGATTAACTTCAGCCATCTTTCTTTTTTGTCTTCCTTTCTTAGATCCAGCTGCTGATTGAGATCATCTGGCCCCTTTTCATCTTCTTCATCCTGATCTCAGTCCGAATGCATTATCCACCCTACGAGCAACATGAATGTAAGCAGACATGAAGAGAGTTTTTTACTTAATTCTCATCTAATTCAAGAATTCTGTTTTATGACTTTCTTGAGATTTTCAGGATTCTACCATCTGAAGTTTAAAAGAATTTACATTTGCAGCAGTTGTATTAAAGTTTTAAAGTTGAATTCCTCAAGATAATACAATTATACACAAGAAAACAGGAGTTACTTATAATTTGTGTGTTTATTTACTGCAATTTTATACCACTACAAACACAATAGAGTATTTTCTTTAAATGCTGCTATATATATAATATATAATATTATTTGAGTCTTTTATCATTCTACTGTTTGAAGACATTGTCTATTCTTAGCTAGTGTATGCCCCTTGGTTCTTGGTAAGATCAACATATTCGTCATCCAAGGTTCCCATGTTGTTGTAACATAGGAATCGGTTGGCTTTGTCAATATTTGTTTGCACTGTGTGAACATGTGTTAGGACCTTTAGCTCCTGGAATAGGGGATTGCAAAGTAATTCGTCAGCAGCACTTGTTTCACAACTTTGACCACGTTTCAACTCAATAAGATTATCCCTGGTCGCAAGCACTTTTTCGAAAGGAAAACTGTTATCTGCAACAGCATTTCCAAAGAGAAACTTAGTTAGTAGTAGGTGTTGTTAATTTATTCAAAGAAGGTATTTTAGAAAAGTTGGTGCAGGTTCTTGCTTGTACATACCCACAGACTCACATATACCTGCTCTTGAATAAAGCAAGTGTCAACTATAATCCTTATGAGCATGCATGTGATTGTTTTGTTGACCACCAAACCGGTTTCCCTGTTTGGAGCATAAACGTTAATTCCAAATGTCAGTGTTTCACAAGTTGATCCAAACCCAGTTGACCCAGTGAGGTGGGGCAAACTCCTGACCTCTTTCTCTATAGTTATCTTTTCAGTGTAATATCTCGATAACCTCAGTATATTGCAGCAGTAGCAGTAAAGTTATCTGATAAGAGTCCAAACCAAATTGTAAAGATAATGTCACTGCTTTTTAAAGCGGATTCCAAAGACAGTGGCAGTGGTCTATATGTTATAGTTTGCATGTGTTATAATTAGTTGGAAATCCTGTTTTTGCTCCAGTGTTTTCCAACAGAGACACCAACAATAGTTTAGCCAATGGGCCTCTTGACCTTGGTAATTATTTAACCGCAGTGGTTTAAGCTTGTCTAGTGGAGAGTAAAGTGGAATAATTAGTTACAACACTTTTAAAATATAAGGATTCACCAGATTTGTAGGAATGACAAATATCCTACGTGTTATCAATATAATCCAGTGAGGCCTAATGACATCTGTATATCTTAATGATTTTGTGTTTTACTGATGTTTAAGTCCAAATTTAAAACTCATAATGAAAACTATATACTGTCCTTTTCCTTTCCAGGCCACTTCCCTAACAAGGCCATGCCCTCAGCAGGTACCCTGCCCTGGGTACAAGGCATCATCTGTAACGCCAACAACCCCTGCTTC